ACCATAACCACCTGGCCATGCCAGGGCCCTAACCACCTGGCCATGCCGGGCCATTCTGTTGTCATGTTACTCATGTAGTTCAGTTTGCAACCGAAGAAATGCCGCAGACGCTGTTTCCAACTTTATCAGAAAACCAGTCTTACAAGAACCATGAATTTTCTAAAGATCTTACACACAAATATCAGTCAGGGTTAATTCGTCATATCAAAAATAGCAGTTAATCTTAATTCTTATTAATTAGTTAATATATGATTATATAACAGTATCCAAGTTTAAACAACGTAAACCAATAAAATATATGACGTCTATTTGTAATAACACTTATATTTGTTATTCCTGCTTAAGCATATATATATATCGTTATGATGTGTCGTACGATAGTATATAAAGTGGCCATTCTATTATTGTTCCCACCAAATATAGGTTTGGATCATAGACCTCTAGAAACGATATAGCATAGACTCCACAGAATGCCTAAAACTGTCTTGTTCGAGCGTACCTCATTCTTCGAGAAGTATTCACAGATATCAGTGAAGAATTTCGGTGGAGAATACGACACTGAAGCTTATCCCAAAGATACTCAATCAGATTGCAATCCAATGACTGAGGCGGTTATGAAAGACGATTAAAATATTTTGATGTTCTTCAAAATTTTGGACAATATTAACCTGGTGAATTTCTGTATATTACGGTCTAGAAAGAGCCGTTACCCATCATAAATAAAAATGCAATATAGGCTTAGTCTCAATCGCGTGATTTTCTGCTTATATTTCAGCACAAACAAAAATGAAACCTCAATTATTAGACCACGTCATATGTTTTTACTTATTTATTCATATTAATTACCATCTGCCATATCCTATATTTTTTTTTCGAATGTGCTTCGGATGGAAGATTCGAGAAACTGGGGCACATTCTGGTGTTTGTTGCATTTTACAAGCTCATTCAATCTTCTTTTCCCTCGTTTTGTCAACGGTGGTTACTGGTCACAGTTTTCCTTAGTGTCAGGTGCTTTTCTTTTCGATTGCTACTATTGAGAAACTGATTATATGAAAACACAATGTTTTTTCTGCTAGATGAACACCTGCTCTTACCCAGCATCTTACAGCCAAACCATTATAAAGGCTTCACGTTTGTTTCTGAGGGTCTAATAAGATAGACAGTCAGAGAACCAGGGGAATAGTCACATCGCAGTGCACATATTCATTAAGGTGAGTCGGATACAATATTCAAATATGCTACATCTAAATAGTTTGTTTGTTTAGAATTAAGCACAAAGCTACACAATGGGCTATTTGTGCTCTGCCCACCACGGGTATCGAAACTCGGTTTCTAGCGTCGTACGTCCGCAGACATACCGATGTGCCACTGGGGGCGGGGGCTCTAAATAGTTACCTACTAACAAATGATACGAGAAAATCTGATCATAATTTTATGTGGACATTTGTCAGCATACTATAACCATTTATTCCTGACGTGTTTAGCAAAATTAAATTTTTTTTGTACTTTAATTTTTTTTTTGGTATAAAACTGTATGGTTCTAAAAATATACATTTGATGCTGTTTTTTTTTAAAGCTATCAATAAATCTTCCTGAAAAATAATGCGTAGAAAAAATTATCTGTTTCAGAATTGTTTTCAGTTTTCGTTAACTGCCAACATGTGTTGAAAGACTATGCTCTTTCCATGTATGCCCCCCCAGTGGCACAGCGGTATGTCTGCGGACTTACAACGCTAAAATCCGGGTTTCGATACCCGTGGTGGGCAGAGCACAGATAGCCCATTGTGTAGCTTTGTGCTTAATTACAAACCAACCAACCAATTTTCCATGTAATGACACTATGCTTATGTTTAAAGGAAAACGTGAGACAAATGTTTTTGTTGGAAATATTTCCATTGAATTTAGTTTCATAAGCCAAACTAATCCATTGACATTTTAGTTTTCTATTTTCATTACTCTGGAAATAATATTTGGGATAATCTTGATTATTATTATTATTCTGCTAAATTTCGAGCAAAACTATTCGAGTGTAAAGGGATATATTCCCTTGTGTTTTGAATTTGTAATTATTACGGATAAAACAAAATTACAGGTTAATTAATTTACTAATTATAAATTAGTTACAAATGAACACGTGCAATATCGCAGCTCCAGGCCATGGGATATTATCGTAGCAACTATAATTAAGTTTTTTGTTTGTTTGTTTGTATTCGGTGTCAAGATTTTAAACACATATTCTTCCACTTGTATTTATTATTCATTGTAAAATAGCTAACACACATTTCCAAACTTCGAATTATCACACAAAATTATCATGTGAGCTACATTTTATCCAACAAGTTTCCGGAATAGGGTTTGTTTATTTTAGAACAAAACCACATTCGGTTATCTATTGTATCCACAGCGGGGAATCGAACTCCGAATTCCATAAACTGACAGCTGTCTCACCAGGCTACCATGGAATAAGGCACATCAAAAGTGACCCCAAATCAGTTAAAGTTATATTTCATACAGAATTTGATTGTTTTCTCCGCTTATCTAACGAGTTTCAAGCATCAAAGTGTGCCAATATCCAATCTACTAATTTAAACAGCATGACTACAATTGTAAATTTCACCTGACTGATATTGCTTGAAAATTCTGTACACGGCTCGGAGAACAATTAACGAAAACCAAGTAGAGGTATATGATTAAGGACGATATTGATGGGGTATATGATTTAGGACGATATTCATAGGGATATATGATTTAGGACGAAATTGATAGGGATATATGATTTTGGAGGATATTGTTAGGGTATATGATTTAGGACGATATTGATAGGGATATATGATTTAGGACGATATTGATAGGGATATATGATTTAAGACGATATTGATAGGGATATATGATTTCGGACGAAATTGATAGGGATATATGATTTTGGACGATATTGTTAGGGTATATGATTTAGGACGATATTGATAGGGATATATGATTTAGGACGATATTGATAGGGATATATGATTTAAGACGATATTTTTAGGGTATATGATTTAGGACGATATTGATAGGGATATATAATTTAGGACGATATTGATAGGGATATATGATTTAAGACGATATTGATAGGGATATATGATTTAAGACGATATTGATAGGGTATATGATTAAGGACGCCATTGATATAGTATATTTAAAACATAGTGTACAGACAAAACATTCAGGATGAATTTCATATATAAATCGAGATAAATTAATTTTTGGAATTGGTATTGCTCTAATTAAAGAAGATAAAATTCAATTCTCCGCCATGATACGCTAGTGTCCTTTTGATTACACAGGCCTGCGAATTTAAACTTCACAAAAGTTGTTTTGATTTTATTAACGGATTTTTCATAATTCAGCTACGCAGATTTCGAAAATAATATTATTTTTTTCTATCACGTATGTTTTTTTGTTGTTTTTTTACAAATCGGGAAGAAAAACAAATACTTAGACCAAATCATTATATTTAGTTTACCACAATGAACATTTTTTATTATTATGGTTGTCAACAAAAATACAAACAAACTGAAGAAAATGGAAGAACATTGATGTCAAACGAATATGCATCCTCATTCATCCTGATTTTTGTGTGTGTGTGTGTGAAATCTACGTCTTTTAGTCTCAAAACTACGTGTTGTGGTCTTTCTTTTATGTATTGCGTTATGACGTTACATGATGGAGAAAAATGGATATCATTTTCGGACTCGGCGTACAGGAATTACTGTGGAACGTGTAAAAATTTTAAGAAAATAAAACCATCACAGGCCTGTGTTCTTATTGGGTAAAGTTTGTTTGTTTTTAATTATGCACAAAGCTACACAAGGGCTATCTGTGCTCTGCCCACAACGGGTATCGAAACCCGGTTTCAGCAGACATACCGCTGTGCCACTGGGGGCTATTGGGTAAAGAAAGAAGCAATGTATTTTGCTTATGACAAGAAGGGAAGGTTCCGGTTACTTTTAATTTCTAGCTAAATATTAAAAGATGTTATTGTATTTTAATTAGGATAATTCGTAGACTTGGCCAATGTGTTAACTGAGTGTAATATATATATATATAATGACAAAATGAAGTATCCGTCCTTTGTGCGGGTTATGAACTTAAAAAAAAAATAATGTGTGGGTGGATGCTATGATAAATAACACAAAAATCCTAACTTTCATACAATTTATTTATAACATAATATATTATTACAGTATTCATTATTACCTCACTAAAGGTTTTGTATAAGCTTTAACAACTCAGTATGTACATACTTTAAACATGATATACACTGGGCGGTGGTCAGGATGAGTTTGTAGGAAGAGGTAGTGGCCAAAGTGGTGGCGGTAGGAGTGTTTTCTGTTACCCACTTTCAACACCCAGCTCTTAATGTCCTTCCACAGTGTCTTGTGGGCCGAAGTTGAAAGGTCGCGAGTCAAAGTAGGAATTGGGTATAACTCAATAAACAGCTCTTCATATCAACCTTATGGTGGCTGTAGGAGTAGCAACTTAAGTTGAGTTTATGTACTATTGCAATAGTGACAGCCATTTTTTTCATTAGATTTCTTCATAGAGTGCTAGCGAACTATCTGCGATGTATAAGACGTTTTTCTGCCCCCCTCCCCACACTGTGTGTCTGTTGTGTTATAGACAATTTAACAAAGTTTTTTGTATTGGTGTAAGAACGTGGCGCCATCTAGGAATCGGTTAACATTAACTTAGTCAAAGATGACAGACACTCAATAGCGCTCAAATTATGGAGGTGGAGGGGATCATGAACACCCATTAACATGCCACTTGTTCCAAACTATCACCCCACAAAGTTTGGTTGGAATTGGCCTAGCGACCTAGGAGTAGTTAGATAACGGACAGAAAGATATATTTTTTGTGCTTCATATATATATATAGGTTAACTAAAATTAGTGTCAACTGTTATTAACCGTACGATAAAAATTTCATAAAATTAGGCTTACTAAACTATACTTGCAAAACACGCCGCAGCTGGATCAATTAAATAAGGTATCAGCAAAACGTTCACATTGATATATGTATAGTTATACTTACAACACAGTAATCTCAAAGTTTTTCTTCATTGCCCATTCAAGCCGTCTCCTAGCATTATTAGTCTCAAAGTGGGTTCCTCGTCATCAAATTTGAATTCATCACGCGATTAATC